GGTAAACGCACGCAACTCGCGAGAATGTTAATCGTTTCGGAAGAATGCGATCGATCAAACTGCCTGTTGCAATTAAGCTGTTTGCAATCGATCGGTTGCATCGCGGATCGATTCACAATCTAGAATTTTCAAACTGAACTTCCAACTATCGCAACAACGAGACCTTTGCAATTAAACGAAACTTTTGAACGAGTTACGACATAGATCTTCAAAATGTCCAAGATCTTCGAGGATCTTTAACGCGAATATAAAATCGTGAATTTTGAAGTTAAAAATTTCAAATTGATTGCAATTGCTAAACGATTGCAATTGTTTTCGAGCTTAAACTTTAAACATTAATAACGAAATATTAGATGACTGTCAATCAAAGAAAATTTCGAGATAAAAAAAAATGAATTATATAATTAACTTTCAAGCTATTTAAGATATTTAATTATCTTTGAATTAGTCGATGACAGAGATACAACAACTTTCTTCATCAAACGAAATTTTCAAGTTAAAGTTTCTACTCTGAACGAAGATTCAGACGAAGATCCAGAGTTATAGTTATACCTATTTGAATCACAATTGAACTGCATAGACTATGACAATCGTGCATTCATATGCGATATTTATTAAGAGGATATAAAACGTCCAAAGTAAAGTGCTTGTCATAACTTTCGGCAGACGAAACAAAATCTTTGTGGAAACAAATCTTATTACTTATAAAAATATAGCAAGGTCGAACAGTTTACGGGACAGTGGAAGAATTTGTCGCATTTACGTCAGAGGAGACCAATACCAGATTTCTCGAGGTCCACGAAATATAATTGGAAACGTTCGTGGAAACTCGTTTCCGCTGGAAGACGTGACACCAGTCTCGTTGTTCCCCGAAACTAATTCAGTTTCCGTCGAACGACGTTTTCCAAGTAATCGAACACTGACGACGCTTGGAAATAACGTCGCGAGAAAGGAAAAAAAAAGAGAAGCGATAACGCAAGTACATTTTTCAATCGAGAGTGTTGCATCATTTTTACAACGCGTTTGATCGAATACGAATTTCAAGAAAGAATGACATAGAAAATCAGGATAAAAAAAAGAGAAACAAATAACTCTGATAGTACGCGATCCATTTTCACTTTCTGCAGATCATCTCGTCAACGGGATTAACATGATAGCGGTCACGTAGCTCCACTTTCATCGAATTGTACTTTGACCGAAAAACACGATACTCTGACATGAAACACCGGTGATGTAAGTATCAAGTATATATATATATTACAAAAAATTATTAAATTTCTTTTTATTAAACAAATGATGCAAAATCTTTCTTATATGCATTATTATACATGCTTTTATCGACATATATGAGTAACAGAAATATTTTATATTCTGTGTTATTAAAAAAAAAAAAAAATAGAAATATAATATTATTTAAGTGAGTCAAAATGATAGTACATTTCGATAGAAACAAAAGAAACGAGTTTGATAATTGTTTAATTCTTAGTATGATTTCTTTTGCATTTAAACACCCGTTCTTCAAGCATAGATTTATATAGTTTCTTTAACGATCTTTTGGCTTAATTCTTCCCACGATATATTTTTTTTAATTCATTAATACTTGCGAATTGTCTTTTATTCTGGTATATAGTCCTCGCCAAATTCCCTCAACATAATTTTCTATAATATTTAAAAAATACGCCTATTTCTGGCAATTCGTGTTACGTACGAATATATATATTTGTTCGTCAATCATTTCGATATCCATTTTACTATTTAATTTACCTGTAATGAATTTTATTTTCAATTTACCGTAGCAGCCAACAGTTCTCTAAATCATTATACCGCCGCCTCCCATGGATCGATGACTCTGAAGTTGCTGCTCCTTTCGTAGTGAAGACTATCATTCAGGGCTTTAAACTAAATCTCTTTTCATCGGTAAATATGATTCTTTGCCATTTTTTATTCGTATAAACTGTTCCACGTTTCTCTGCAAATTGCAAACGGCGCAGCTCACGTTCTTGCTTTAAGCAATTGTCGTCGCTTCGGATGTTCACAATCCTTCGAAAGACATCGAACATTCCTGACATTTGTCGTAAGTCCAGCTTTTTCTGCAGTCGAGGTTAAATTTGACGCTGTATTACGGTGCGTATGTCCCAAGCTGATAGACACCGCGGTCGTTCACAATTTTTTCCATAATTATCGAGGTCTTTCAGTAAATTCATCGTCACTTTACGATTTCTGTTAACTGCTTTGGCTACTTTTGTCAGCCAGAATAATGTTCTTCGTTTAATTTCAGCTGGATTTAACTTTCTCCCGCGAGCCATTTTTACAAATTTATTCGTTTATTACGTTAATGCCCACTTAACCGGCTGTATTTCGCACGAATGTTACGCTTTCGATAACTCCCGTACGACTGAGGAGCGTAAATATTCGACTTGTTCGCCCCTCGACTGCGAACGATATTTACATTTTCGGTTTTGCATTTCTGAGAAATTTTGTACTTGCACGATTCTGTCCATCTCGCGGCTGCAAACAATATTTACACTTTCGTTTTTGTAGTTTCTGAGAAACTTTGTATTTCTCGGACATTCAACATGCCACACGTGTGTCCACGTCCAAGGATACTGATGTGATAATCTACGCGTTCTCTCTATTTTATCATACATAATGCAAGAAAATATATAGATGTGCTATCTTTTTGTCTCACATGTATGTACATGAGCAGTACATGTATGATATGTAGTGCAAAGGATAGAAGCAACCTTTGAACCGTACAGTAAACCATGTTTTTTTTTTCTTTCACGCGTATTGGCAATCGAAGGAGTGCACATAATGCCACAATCGATTATCTTAATGATCTGTTTCCGTATGACTCCACCTACGTTCACCTACGGTCGATCTACCGTGCACGACACCGGACTGGTTACTTGGATAATCGGCCAATTTTAAATTATATACTCGTAGAAATTATAGCTTATACAAGAGAACTATTCGAATAAATGACAAACCGTAACGACTCGGTAATGAAACTGATGAAAGACGTTTGATCATTGTGATTGGACGTTAGGTCGTTGACCTTCTCGTAAATCGTGATCTAATACGATTAAATATAAATGAACCAACTTGGTCCTGATGGAATTTTAGCCTTAAATTTATCCCCCTTATTCTCATCTTTATGATAAGCTTCCCAAAATTCTTTTGGATTTTTTGGAAGCGTAAGGATGTGAAATAATAATAACAGAAAAGAGTAACAAATTAAATTGTACTTTAATAATCGATAAATAACAATTATAAATAATAAACAGATATAAATAAATGACTATCAGGTGTAAGAAGAATGAAATATAATGGACATGCCTGTTTATGGAGGATTAATTCCACGAATGTAATATATTTCCAACTGTCTACTATAAATAACAGCAAATTATTAGTAGAAACGTATTGACGGAAGATTAATGTATTAATAAAGGAACACCTGCGGTTTGCCAAAGTTGATGTACAATCGAAAGACAAGGCAGGTGCAATTACAAGTGCAATAAGAAAAAAGTCTTCGGTTTCTTTCCTCTTTCATAAGTTCATAAACGACTTGTAAACAAATTAATGAGCAGGTATGTATCAGCAAGTCGGAATTACAAGATGGATCACATCGATTGGCTAACATGACTGTGACTGTAATTGCTGTCTGTTCAAGGATGCTTAAGAACCGAGGCTCTTTAGCCGATTAAATGATTCGAGAAACGGTGCATCGAAATAGACTGCACTTCATGCACTAACTAACTCTTGAATAATCAAATGGATATTAAGTTCGTTTACAGAAAGATGGGATGGACTCCCGTTCAAGTTTGTATTAGATTAATCGCACTTAATACCAGACTTTTACCCTGATACTACCTAAGCGAACGATACCGTAGAAATTCAATGAGCCTGTTTACATCTTGCGACTATGATTTAATTCTTTAATGAACAGTTATTACAGGGGGAGAATGAAATTTCTGAACGAAACTTTTTTGACGATACTAGCCTTCGACTATTACTCTTGACTGCAAATTTTACAATAAATTTCATTTGCTAATCAAAACTTTGAAATGGATACTTAAAAAGAAAAAAATTCAATTATATTTTGGTATAAATGGTTTGATCATATGCATACTTTATTATTTAGTATGAAGATTAAATGTATATTATATTTTTATATTATAAATATATTTATTTATATTATATATTTATATTTTTATACTATAAATATATTTATTTATATTATATATTTATATTTTTATATTATAAATATATTTATTTATATTATATATTTATATTTTTATATTATATATTATATATTTATATTTAACATTATTTTTGATTTATTTACATTTACATTCTTACATATTTAATTTGTAAGAAGACTATAAACTTTATTACGATTTAAACGAACGGCTCTATCAACACAACGATTCTTAATCTCTTGCACGATGCAAGAAGTGCATTCACGTTTCTAATAGCGCGCCGAAAATAATCCATGGGGCAAATTCAGGGGCATGCGCGCGCAGGTTAGGAAGCGCGGGAATAGCTTTCAAAATGTTTACCAGCATTAACGTGGATCGTAAGCCACGTGCTTCTGTTCTCGAAACGTTCTTAATGGTTTTGCGTGTATCTTTTTCACGGAGATTATACGAGTCTCTTTGCAAGAGCTTAATTCATTTACGAACACCTTATTCGCGATTCCAAGCACGTAGCTCTTTAATTCTGTCTCGAGTACCTAAGCCATTGCGAAATCTTGTGTGTATCTAACAGTTGACGCTAACTTGCCTCGTTAGAGTTATATGTATACGATATTACACGACAATGAAGGGCAAAAAGTACCTTCGAGGCGAGATTAGTATTTAGCTAATCAGCAAATTATGGAAAAATTCATCGCATATATTACTGGTGAAATGATATATTTTCGGATCTCACTTACCGAGAAGGACAGCACGATTAACGCGAGAGATAGATGAACAGGAATACGTTGATAACACACTCACCTTTTCATCGAGGTTGTTCAGATCCGGCAACTGAAACAGAAACATTCGAATTAGGTTAGTTAACAACGTCGTCGCTGTGTGAAAAATGATTAACGTGTCATCATCTGAAATTCTTGTATAACAATAACATATATAAATATCATAGAGTAGATGAACGAGGGAGAAACGTTACCTCACTAAGTAGCACAAGCATCGTGCGTTCACATATTAATTAACACCGACGAATAACTAATTAATTTCAATCGCAACGCGAGCAACAATACACACGACCGTGAACTAGAGGAACGGAATTCAACTTTGCTTGAGCAAGCGTCGTCCCGCCATCTGGCAACAAATTCGGTACTAACGGTTTCCGCGAAAAACGAGGCGGAAGACTACGTCAGTTACGTCAGTGCCTACTTTATCTACATGCGCGGGAGTTTCGTCGGTCGGCAGATGCCGCCCACGGTACGTGAGTTCTTTTCTTTTTTTTTTTCTTTTTTTTTTTTGTCGCTCAGCCGCTTGCAAATTGAAGGAAATTGAAGCCAATTTGTAGCAATCAGCTGTCGTGCTTGAATATATTCTCCTGGAGACTGCAGATAGCGTGCCAGTATTAATTTAACGCTTGATACGTCAACCCGTCTAATTAACCTTCATCATTCCCCGTACGTGTCCGGAACCGAACGAAATAACGTGAAAGCAAAGAAAAAGGAGAAATTTCCTTCCGTAAGACGTTCGAACGAACCGTTCTACAGCTAAACCTCGAATTTATGCGAATTTCAATGGCTCGTTCAAACGGACAGAACACACGTTCTTCTGTTCGCCGCGTAGGAGCAGTTGCGAGCCACCACAGACATATTTTTCTATATTCCGAAATAAGTCATAGCGATATCCCTGAAATTGAGACAACCGCGAAGACTCGAACTCAATTATGAAATTGTCGCCGAATCCCCCCGTACGCTACTTAAATGTCAAGAGACACACGCGTCAGACACCGATCGTGGGCTATCGTGTTCGTTCACGCGTTCAGATTTCTAGCTCACCTCGAACCAGATTATCCGCAGCCGGCCAAACCAATGATTCACTTCGTGATATGGAAATAACTGGACGCTAAATAACATATTTAGTAACATTGCCCACCGGTATATGAAACGCGATAATTCACTTCGAACGAAGGGAGAGACATTACGTAAACGAGACGAGAACGTCTTTGAATCGCACTTCAGCTTCGCCTTTCGAGTCACGACGCTTCGAATGTATCTTTCAGAATTTTCAGCTTCATCAGTTGACGAGACACGCATCGAATAATTGAAAATCTTTTGAACAACATGAAATAATTATTGCCAGAATGAAGAGATACTATTTAAAATATTCAGTGTTATTCAAGTGAATATTTTATGATACAATATTGTATATTCTATAACCCATTCTGTATGTTTTATAAAATAATATTTACATTACATTGTAATTTATATATTTATTTATCTACTTGATCATTCATTTCTACATTTGTGTACATTTTTGTCTATAGATACATGAAAGATTATGTATTAAAAAAGAGAATCGATGAACTGGGACATTTTTATAACACGCTGTGCATTTAAAGTGTTAGAAACAAAAAAAAAAAATCGATGAAATGAAACTTCAGAGATTTTTCAAAAGTTACTGAAGATCATTTCTCGAAGTCATCCGATTTGAGGGTTGCAAAGCCTCAACCAGTAAAAAAAATAAAAGGAAACCTCAAAGTCCCACACACGTGTTTCCAAACTCACATATTTCGCCTTGAAGACACCTTTAATCCATCCAAGTTTTACAAGCGGGTAGAGAAAGAATGCATATCAGCGGAATCTGTTCAAACATTTATACTAAGATCGATGCGTTATTTGCCCATCTTTGTCTGAAACGGTGTACTTCCAATGTATACCGAGAAAATAATGCAACGTTTACAGTTGCGGTTTATCGAGCGATACTCGACGTGGTACTCATCAAACGATACGATCGAGTTCCACGAAATCAAAGTTGACAATGACCTTGGCATGTTCCTCGACAAATTGTTCGTTTCCTTTTAACTCGTTTCCCCTGTGGAACAACGTTGAACGAATATCGAACATTTAATATTTACCGTTTGCTGCGTTTCCACGAAATAGATTCCACTCTCCGGTTATCCGAAAATTGCCGGGTTAAAGCGGTACTGTCACGGTCTTGCATTTATTCACGAACGAGTAAAAACCAGCGGATATGAACCGCGACATATATATATATATATATATTACACGCGATCGCATTAACCGGGAAATTAAATTCTCGTGCATTTCATCGAGATTTACGACATTTCGCGCGAGAATTTCGCGGTCAGATGTTAAAGAGCAGCCAGGGTCGGACGAAATTTACACGGGCGGTAACCTCTTTTCTTCTTTTTTACCTACAGCGGGCTCCGTCCTCGTTTCGCGAAACATTCGTTCGGTTTTACGAGAACGTCGCTGAAAATTGTTGAAATACGCCGATCCATGGAACGGGTGTGACCCAGTAAAAACAAGGACAGATTCTTTTTCATTGTAAAACCAATGGAAATGATGCGTAAAGCAGAAAGGTCATTATAGAAAACGCATATCCACGTGAAGATTAGACGTAGACATAGAGTTTTTAGTCATAGAGTTTATATTTCTCATTAAAGACGTTGCATTAACAAACAATAGGTTGACAATAGGTTGATGCAACATTTCATTCGCGACGCTTTCCAATCGATTTGTATTATTAAACTCTGTCTCTTGATGTTGGGATTGAGAGAAGAAATTCCACGGATCCGCTTAATACTTTTTTTGATCGTCCTTTCCATCTTTGTGAAATTTCGAGAAATTCAGATATTTGCAATATTATGATAAATATAATTGTTTGGTCTTCAATGAGCATTCGTTAATCTGATTTTAATGTCAGTTCACGATTAAACAGGACAATTCGATATAATTTGCAGACTGATCTCAAATTCTGTCAATACTCGTGATTATGATAATCGTGTCTCATTAATAAGATCATCAATAAAATGTCAAATGTTTTGTATGTATGATATTAGATACTCGTAAATGAAACGACCGAATTGTTGATAAAATTTCCTATTAAAGTTTATAACATTTTTTGAAAATAATATTGATAAAAACACGATTCAATGGATACGATATATATTGATGATCTCGACTGAAGTGTTCATGATAAAACGATTCTTACGATTGCCATTTTTTTAAAGACAACAGAGCAGTCTCTCATCTCTGATCCAAATACTTCAATCTTTCTCACATCATCAGACAGAACATCGTATTATTCTGTAAGTGCTGTAAATGTATTCCGAACTATGCTATACTGCTATAAGTTATTCATTCTGTAAGCAAAAACCTAACAACAGGTAACAAAAGTAACAAACTCCTTGTACGGTAATATTTGTAAGTTGAATAAGTAAGGTAAGTTGATAAATCTACGAATTTATAAAATTATTAAAGCAAGCAATATTTTGAAAGAAGCGCGAAAAGTACACCTACGTGTATTTAACTCCAAAGTTAATTAAAAATAGAATTTTGGTAGCGTGAGATTGAGTGACAATATAACTGAGTTTTAAAATTATATCCCCACAAAGAATAGAAATATTTGATTCATCGGTAGTTTTTAATTGTCTAAGCCTCTTAATTGCGAGGAAAACTGCGAGATTAAACGGATATTCGATAAACATATCGCTTCGAAACAAACGAACTCTCTACCTCGATAACGCGGCTGTTATCAGCAGGGACGTTTTAAAATCATTATCCACGTTATTTCAATCAGAAAGGAAATCTAAACGTTGTACGCACCGCGTAAATTGACTCCGACTGTTCTTCAATTATAGGTCAATCAAAATCGATCGGTAATGGGATTAAACAACAACGAGTGGAATCATCGTTTGCCTTCATTTCGAAAACTATGTGTGTGTAGCATAAACGTAATTAATAAATTTTCCAGACTCGATTTTCTTGAAAACGAGGCGTTAAGTGAATATATAATCACCTCTTTTCCGATTGGAAATACCTTGTATAGTATAAAATAAATTTTTATTTAGATTTCATTATCTAGGTTTATAAATATTTGAAAATGCATAAAAGTTCATAGTCTACGCATGTTGCAGTATAGAATATTAACACGCGTTTTACTCGAAAAGCATCCAACTGACACGAGTATAAATGTAAAGGGAGTAAAGTGAAAGATAAAATACGTACGAGTCATGGTCGTGCAGAGTTTTATTAGAAATATAAATAAATAACATCTTACACATCTTACTGATTGATCGGAATCGTTTGACAGAGATATATATATTATCTCAGATATTCGCGTCTTCACTTTTCCTTCGAATACACACCACTTTCACAGACACACGATCAATCATCAGCTTATATTTAGAGATCTTTCACTCTTTCTCTCTCGCCCTCTCAGTCGTTCTCTCTTTCGTGCTCCCTATTTTAGACTAGCAAAATTCCACACCCGTACACACAGATGATTTATCGAAGACACTCTGCGGGATACCAGATACCAGAGAGGTTGCCATGTAGATTGGCCGCGAGAATGTCGTATTTAGGTTAATCGAGAACGCCAATAATTCCAACGATCTTCGAAAACACTTGCTGTTTAGAAATCTCACAGATACGAATACAGTGAGAGACAAAAATACAAGTTCACCATCTCAGACTGAGCTACAGTGAGAAACAAAAGTATTCGTACTACAGAAACACAAAAAGAAACGCTCTTTCTCGGCTGTTAAATATATTCAAATGTTAATTATATGTAAATGTATGTTACAATAAAGAAAAAGGTCAATTCGCAAAGAGTGAATTCTTAAGAAAATTTTGGAGAGTTAATTAATGACAATAGATTGTATGCAATTATTTCGAAAGAAAAGAAGCTAACTCCATTTGTACGCTTTCAGCTACTAACGCGAACATTAATTAATAATATTGCGTACGAATATTTTTGTATGACGAAACGACCATTGAGAATCTTGTCTTGCGGTACAAGTTACCACAGTAATTTAATTAACCAAATTAATTAATTTCGTGAAATTGTACGTAACAATTACTGCGAACGACTGGATATAATATACAGTTACGTATACCTGTATTTTGAATACATTTATACAGAAAATATCTCTCTTTACATTTCTACGTTCCAACTGTACATACACTACTGCACCTCACCATGTGGACAGATATTTTCATATTTACAACAACGTCGTGAATTTTTCTTTCCAGCCCTCGATTCAATACCGCGACCCAGCCGAAAATTTCCACTTGCGCTGGACAACTGATTGCGGACCGTAACGAGTGACCGAACCGTATACAACAATTAATTCGTCGCTTTCTTTTCGAATTCGTCGGTATGATATTACTGGACAGAGATTAGTAAACAAATAAATTTATTATTTGTTTCGCCTATTTTTGGTTTACTTAAATCGTCATTCCAGCGCAGGAGGTTAATCCCTCTGGTTTTCCTTCGGAGCTCGTTCGCCGGGCAACGGACTGTAACGCTGTTGGCAGTCGACGGGGTTCGAAACTTCGCTCGATTTCTCAATCCGACGCCGGTTCGTCGATTTCCACGCTGCGGAAACTTTTCCATTTGCTGACTTGGCGCGTTGCGGAACTTCGCGAGTTTTACCAAAGCTTTCAGGAGCGCGTCCGCGAAAAAATATGTAATTGATCGAGGGAGAGAGAGAGAGGGAATGTCGAACGCGGATCGACGTATTACCGAAATCCGCTCGACGACGGTGAAGATTATCATTTCGAACATCGCGAGAGGAGAACAAAGCCGCCACGTGTGTGTATATCGTGGACTCTTCCGTTTCAATGGGATTCGGTTATTACGCGAGAGCATCGATAGAAGAAAAGGAAGAATATATGTATGTACGTTACGTGGCGCGAAGAGATGGGCTCGACTGTAACCGTGCACTCACGAATCCGAGTCAAGTTCTTCCAAGTGAATTTGAAATGATTACTCGATTTGTATTCACTTTATACAACAGAATGACCTTTAAGTTTCGAGCAACTCGACCTAAGATTCGAAACATTCGCGCGATTTTTTGAAAGTCAATGACCTTTTCTCGTTTCTAGCTAAGAATTCAACCATTCCAACTGTTTTTTACTCGTTTACAACGAGATTCTTTCTAATGAACACACGTTATAATGATCGGCTTCCAATTTCGGGTCTAAAGAGTGAGACTTTCTATAAGCGTGAGAGGCATTTACACTGATAGAACCGATAGACCATTTTTCATAATTCTAATAATTAGAATTATCTTGCACGAAAGACGTTGGGCCTCTTGTTCACATAAAAGAACTTACTATTCGTACATATCTAAATACAGAATAATAAGTTCTTCTATGTGAACAAGAAACGTGTTTTTTTTTTTTTAAATTGCACGTATGTCACGTTAAAAATCGTACGCGCACAAGATTCGAGTATACACTGAACCAAAATTGCGTGTTCAAACTCTCCCAGAGACACACTACGCCCAGTCGAAGACTAAACAATTCTCCACTCGTAGAATAAACAATTTGAACCTACTTTCATACTCAATCCCATCTCTACCCGCCGATATTCAAGTATCCAGTACATACTCGAACATAGTATATAATATATACTGCATGGTATAGCATATATAGTGTACGCTGTATCTTAGAAGTGTCATCCTCATTTCTGGAAGCACTCGCGATTCGAATACGCTTGGAAACGTCGATCCAAATACTACGAGGTTCGAACTTGGTACTTGTGAGGTACTCGCTCCCATCTCTAGCGGTATAATTCCGGTGTATGCAGCAGCTAGTACACTCTGAGAAAGAACGTGTGTATGCGTGTGCAAAAGTAAGCGAACCGCGAGTTACGGAAGATTTCCACGAATATCTCGAGTACCACTCTCGTTTGGCACAGGCTCACAGCTTCCGTTTCGGAGGATTTGCCGATACCGTCAAACGAGTAAGGAGGTTTAATGCACGCTCGGGTACACCGTTCTCCCTTTGATGTGTTTCTCTTTTCTCTCTCTCTCTCTCTCTCTCTCTCTCTCTCTCTCTCTCTTTCTCTTTTTTTTCATCTCGTTTGCCGGTATCGATGCAGAAAGTCCATATCGCGCAGTTTCCTTCCTCGTTCACTCCACTTTCACGGAAATCTACTTGAACACAGCGAGTCCACCGGTCTTGTTTCCGCGTATACCTCGCTGCGAAACGGAAACTTAAAGCAAACGACACGGATCAGCGAATAAATACGAAGGCTGTAATATCCTGACTCTTTTCGTCACTGAGAGGTAATCACTCGCGTTCGAATGATACTCTCTCCCTCTCTCGAAGAGAAGGAAGAGACGGTGACAGCATTCCACCATCCAGAAATCCCTTTCGCATTTCCATTCATACACTACTACCGATTGCACACGGTGATTCTCAGTTGCGAGTTAATACTTCGCGGTGGTGTGTTAGTACTAGTGACTAAAAAAACGTCGTTCTACGTATGTATATCTTTGACATTGCCTTTGAAATTGTCATTTGTTCAAATAACGTTCATCCTGATGGGGACTCTTTCGATGGGGTATACTCCTGTTCGAATTTTGTCTTTCGGGGGAGAAGAAACGGTGAAAACACTTCACAAGTTCGAAAGTTTCTTTCGTATATTTTTACATTTCAAAGTGACCAAGTTGTACAAACAATCGATGGATTTGTTGAAACGTTCAACTTCGTTTAGAAATAACGTGTTCCCACGTCGAATCTTGGAGCAATATTAACCCTGAGTCTTTCGACTCGGAACTCCTTTTCATTAATCTTCGTATTTTTCTTTCATTTCAAGCCACACCGATTACGTGAATAATGACATAAAGAACCAGTATGTAAAAATTGGAGACACTCGTTTCAACAAAATTGTTGCCACGTAGAATTTTCGAATAATATTAACCCCGAGTTTTTCTTCCTTTTCGTTAATCGTCGAAGGAAAAAAAAAAAAGAAAGAAAGAAAAAGAATGTCAAACGTCGTATTTTTCTTTCATTTCAAGCCACACCGATTACGTGAATAATTACATAAAGAACCAGTATATAAAATTTGGAGACACTCGTTTCAACAAAATTGTTGCCACGTAGAATTTTCGAATAATATTAACCCCGAGTCTTTCTTCCTTTTCGTTAATCGTCGAAGGAAAAAAAAAAGAAAGAAAAAGGATGTCAAACGCCGTATTTTCCTTTTATCTGAAGCCATAAATCAATTACATAAATAATTACACAAGTGACTAAAAATTAAAGGCTAAAACTACCATTTAGGAACTCGTATCGGTTGCCACATCGTGTCTCCGTGAGTCTCTTCGAACGAATCCTTAAATCCATTGCCGATCCTCCTCGTGTCCTTTTTTCTCATCTGCCAGAGCGATCTCCATTCGGACTTCCTGCAGCCCCTCAGAGTTCCCTCCGAGTCGAGGAATTGTCCTCCTCTTCTAGTCGACGATTCCTCGGGACGACTTCCGTTTTGCCAGAGGTTAACACGCCTCGCCCGACACCCCCCTTACCCCAAGACGGTCGGTTCACCGAGGCGTGTTTAACCACCGATCAACAGCCACGGTAGAATCACGGTCACGCAGAGAGCGGCCAGGCAACTGGCACACATTGCCAGCGCGCTGGCAGTTGCCTCCGGTTCCGCCTCGATCATGTAATCCTCGTCACGCTCAAATTCACGGACCTCGACGTCGCAGCGGAAACAGACTCGGCCGCTCTTCAGATGCAAGCTGTCCCTGCGTAGCAACAACGCCGAACCTTTCCTCTCCATCTTCCAGCCAGGTTCCTGCAGCAGCATGCGAGTCATCATTTCGTTTCACTCTCCTCTCTTCGTTTCCTTTCGTTTTCTCGTCGTCTTCGTGCGTCGTCTTTCTGCCGGCTACCACGATTTTTCGGTCTTCTCTCGCTTCAGGTATCGCACCCTGTTTCTCGTCTCTCCTCAGGCGAACTGGAGCGGCTCTCGTCCTTTTCGAAAAATGGTCGAAGGCTCGCGATTCGTTGGTACCACCGCCGAGAGGAGGTGTCTCTGCTACCCTAAAAGACAATACAGAGTTAGTAAAGTGAACGCTGGCCGCGACGTTGTTCGACGGAAGAGACGATCTTATTGTCTCCCGGTTCTCGTTACGCGCAATCTGATCTAATCTCGAGCAGAAACGGTGATTCACCGCGGCAACCCGTGACACTTGCCTTATCCGCTTATCGGTCAACGATTGACAGAACGTTTCTCCGTAAATGTGTGATCGTTCCTTTGAATGAGAACACGTCGCCGGGCGATGTTAATTGCTTCGATCGAAGTGAAAATACGAAAGAAAGCAGCGTGGAATGCGACTAGAATGGAAACGCGAGTTCCGCGTGCAACGTTTACTTATGCAACGGTGAACTGTGCGCGCTGGATCCGTTCGAATCTAGGCCCTCTGTTTACCGCGAAGTTATCTATGCAAAAGCAAGAGTTGAATGTAAAAAGTAATCAGCGAATCACGTACCGCTGAAGCTACTATAACAACTGAGAAATGAATTGTCGATCTTTCCTGAATCGCGATTAAAAAAAAAAAAAAAAGAGACAGAAGCAGAAATTGATTTCCCTAGTTAAATTTATATTAAATTGTATAACAGGCAAGTGCTTTGCTTTCGAGATTTTATATTAAATTTCCTATAAAAATAAAAATCCGCAGTCTACTGAAGAGAATCTATATCTGAAAAACTTGTAAAACTTTTACTATAGTATATGTCATCAACGTAGTCTGATGTACCACGACTGACAATTGTATTGTTGTGTGCAAAATAATGCTGATAAAATTGACAGAGTATATTTTGTGAGTCAACGTTGACTAATTAGCTCTCATTTTTTCTGAAGATAAGCATTAATCATTCTGAAAGATTCGTCATCCTGAAGGTAGTATGACTTACACAATACATATTCAATTGTTTTTCGATAAACTTATTATCAAAGATTAACTAGCGTTTTATTACAAGGAAATTTATCATAATGAGCCAGAAAAAAGAAATCTTTAGACAATGCTCAAATGAATTAAAGAAGGAGAATATTTTCATTGTTTTTTTCTTACAATTATTTTAATACTGTGTATTGTCGTGCAAATATGAAAAGAACAATAGAGAATAATGTTAAAAAGTACAGAAGAAATATTACACTTTTTATCTTTAGACAATGCTCAAATGAATCAAAAAGGAAAACTAAAATATTTCCATCATTATGTTTTACGTTACTTGTGCTTTTAGTATATTCTTTTCAAATGTCACGCAAATATTAAATGGACAATAAAGAATAATGTCAAAAGATAAGAAAAAATATCACATTTTTTTAACAATTTACACACAATCTTGCAACAAACTCGCATTTCACTTTAGACATTCAGAAATACTTTTCAAATGTTTCCCTTGAAACTGACATTTGCAAAATGTACTAGTAACGCGTAAGCTATCGCGAGGCGCTTGAGAAACGAAGAATTACCACCGTGTTCGAAATCGTTGAAAAAAAAAAAAAAAGAAAAAGAAGCGACGCTAATTTCTAAAACCACCTAGCAGTTAGTGACGTTAATTAAAGGACGATGGAGCACCAATCAGCAATGAGTGAAACGGCAATCGACGAGGAACAGAGAAAAAATTCTCGAACAAGAATAGTTACACGCTTTGCATCCCGCGAAGAAGGAAGCATTAATGTCAACGGGGGAATGCTAAAGATTGTTCGTTGGGGATTCATTGGGAATGTCGAGCGGCCGTGGAAAGTAGGAAAACACAATACGCCAGCTTTCGCCAGGCTTAATGCAGCCATTAAGCGGCCAACGAAATTACGAAATTCAACTTACGGCTGAAGATTTAGCCCGAGCAGGTGCCTCGGATTTATGAGCATTTAATACGCAGACACCAATGCCGCGGGCGCTCCATCAACTTGCCGCACTCCGAGAGAGAAACGAGAATTAATCGAAGCAACTTCAGCTATTCGCCGAGTCCGTGGCTTCCGAGAGCGGCGGGGCCAAGTTGACTGCCTAAACCAACCGAAACTCGCTCGCGCGGCCCCCTAAACTTTGTCCGCGATTCCGCGCACGTGATACCATACGATTACAACGCAAACAACCAACCGTTCGGTTCAAGGATATTGTTAAACCTGACAACGGGGGAGGACTCGATAGGTTCGCCCTCCTCGTTCACAAACATTTGACCAGCACACGTTTTATCGTGTCGACCTTTTGCCGCCCCGAATCGGGGAAGTCGAGTCTTTACGACAGAGTTTTCGAATGGCTGCAACGCAACAGGCATTTTCGTGCGATAAGGAATATTTGGTCCACGAGTTAGATTACACAGCTAGGCTGCTTTGTTCGTATTCGAGCAGAGAGTTGCTGGAAGGCATTAGTGGAACGACGAGAGTGGTAGAATTTTATTTTGATGAAGGATTCGTACGGTAGGATGATTCTTTTCATCACTACCTGTGACTATTATTCGGACACAAACGTGTAGGAATTTTTTTACGGACATATTGTACGTATTACGTGTCGTACGAAATATTTGAAAATTTTATCGACTACTTAAAACATTGCTATCGCGATTGCTAATCGACCAAGTTTGAAATCCCAAGAAATACGTAGATGTTACAAAAATATTCAACTCGAGTTCGACGTTTGACCGAGATCGTAAAAGTAATATTTAAACAGCTAATTATCAACTACATCAACAAGCCTCAATGTTTAGTGTGAACTATCCTTAACGGATAGTTCATAATTAAAATGCCGTATAATATGTGTATGTTTGTAATATCTTAATAAATAGCTTCTATATTTATTTTTTAGATTGCAGTAAATAATAATCGTCGTATTTCATCAGAGTAATACTGTGATTTTCAAATATTTGCTACGACATGCACAATGTTCGGATATTTTTATGAATCACTGCAGATTGCCACGAAAAAACATGATAAGTTTCTTCTTACGTTTCATCAAAACCATATACGTTTTTATTAAGCTTGTTTTGTCAAACTTCCTGAATTGATACAATATCTGTTCCACTGAGATACTTGTTTTTATCCATCGACTAATACGAAACTCAGAAAATCAAGAAAAATAGAGTTATCATGTTTTTCTCGTGTGGCGTTGATATTACCCAACCCAATTTTGAAATGTTTCCCATAATCGGTGTTTAACAAGCGAGCAATCCGTTACAATTCTTCCACGACACAAATAACTATGAACTTTTCTTTTTTGAAAAAATATTGAAATCTATTGCACAAGGTTAAAAATGCTATTTGAATTTATTTTCCTTCTATTCCCTCGTTATTTTTTCTTCCTATGTAGACAAAAATTTATAATCATTCGTAACGTATCGATTATTCAATCACAAGCTGCGTATAAAGTGCAAGTAACTAATCAAAATTACAAATTTCTTTCTTGTAGAAACACGTGTACATTACAAGTGAGTTTTATTCCCCAGAGACGGGAATATTTCATTCTTCTTAAGATATTATGTTAAAATATATAAATGAAACAATAAAAATGGAATGAATATTGTACGTAATGCATTTTTTTTCAGTTTATAGTATCATTTATGTAGTTATTTTTTTTTTTTTACCTTTCGATTAATTCTCTCTCTCTCTCTCTCTCTCTCTCCCTCTCTATGACACTCAATGATTTATTTTATGTTTTAATCGTTCAAAAATATATATTTTCAGATTCTGAACGAACGATCTAGAAAACGATGATCAGTCTTGCTCCACGTCTTAACAACGTGGTTAAAATTTATCATTTTCGTAAGATATTTATAATTTACAATTTATAATTTTTGTTACAATACCAATTTATAATTTTTGTTAGATATTTCATAAACAGCATATTTTTAAAGATTTAAATAACTTTTACATGAAACATACAAATAAAAACATGCATACTCCATTGTATTATAAAGTTTCTCTATTTTTTCTTTTTTTTTTTTTGGACTTCAATGCCTCTGATGGAAATTTTACGCTTTAGTCGTCGATCGTTCGAGTGTTTGAACAAACGTTCAACGCTTTAAACAAGTCACGAACCTCGAATAAAATAAAAATACCAGCCGCCAGGTGACAGGCAACGTTAAATGTTAAACAAACAGCAAAAATCGTTCTTAGCCACGTGGAAACGCGCGAGACGGTTTAAGAGAAGAGTTTCAAGAGTTTCTGGCAGATTTTCGAGCGAGTAATAAATCTTTTAGGAAGGAAATAAGACAGTCCTGTGTACGTGACCGAGCGAGTCTCGCTCGTTTCTCGGGAGAAACGAACCATCAATAATAAGCCGTGAAAACTGGTCAAGAGGCATTAAGTTCGGAAACGGAGAACTTTCATCGGCACGACCTTACCAGCCGCGTTCTGCATCGGGTTTTGCCCTAGTTTTGCTCCTTCGCCGGCTATTAGTACCGATTAGACCGAGTTTAAAGCACCGAGTCGTGCTGGAAACGTGTTCCTTTCTTTTATCTCCTATTTTTTTTTTTTTTTTTTTTTTTTTAGTCGATAAATTAAAGAACCCAGCCATTTAGGGGAGAGATCGAAACGAGACAGTGGCAGTGTTTTTTTTTTTTTTCTTTTTTTATCTCTGTCGATTTTCTATGGTATGCTGTCTATCGGATATTACGTAATATTTCTTAATCTCTGGCCAGCGAATCCACAAGAGACTATGAAGTTCTGACACACGTAAGTAAACGAAAGCAAGTTCGGGCACATTTTGTTTGGAATAAAATGACAATTTAACAACGAAATATTTCAATTTAACAATTATTTCGGACAACAACCAGCTAACTGAGATGATATATCATTCGATTAATAGATATGTTGTTCGAGAGCACGTCAAAAGATTAAAAAACGATGAACTAGAGCTCACAATCAGTATCTGAGTACTCGAAATTCTTACTTGGATACTTGTTTAACGCTAAAACTATCGAATAGTCAAAACAATCCTAATTCTATAGATTTAAAACATATTAATGATTCTTCGTGAAAAGAAGTCAAAACTTGTTCCGCAATAGTTAAATTAAAATATCAATTAAATCAGAAAGTTAAG